AATTATCTGATATGCGATCCTGATCCCCTTAATTATCTGATCTCCTTTAATAAAAACAAATCTAGCAATATCTCACACCAATCCTCCGATCATTTAAATCACCTTAATCCCTCAAATCCACTGATATCCATTTCAATTCTCTTCAGCCCTTCCTTTACCTTCCAGATCCATCGATATACCTTTTAATTCACAGATATCCCTCCAAATCCACTAATTATTTTTAAATAAATCTTTTAAAAAAAGACTCGAAAATGTCTCGATGCCCGACTCGATAAAGTCAGGCCCGAAAGTGACTCGTTCCGGCCCGACTCGATAAAGTTAGGCCCGAAAAAGACTCGTATCGGCCCGACTCGATAAAGTAAGGCCCGAAAAAGACTCGTACCGGCCCGACTCGATAAAAACAAGCCCGAAAAAAAATGCCTCGACCGTCGGCCCGACTCGAAAACGGCAACCCTACTTCTGACTGTTCCGACCCACATCTGGTAGGAACTAGACGACGGTAAATCATTTTTGCGGGATTTTCTTCCAGCTCGGGATTCTGTCAACCTAAGAAACTTTTGAAATGTTTATATATGAATATTTAATTATTAAAAAAATTATTTTCCTAAAGAAATGTACATCAAATTAATTTTTTACATTTTCTTATTTTTCCTAATTTTTATCAACTTCTCCAATGGAAAAAAGTGTAAATGTCCAACAAATATAAAATCCCCTGCCCATTCAAAAAATCCAAAAAAACAAACAAAAAATGCATTGCCTCAACGTCGATTTAAAAGAGGAAATTGTTTTTGTGGAGGAGGAGAGGGAGCTACTGATGATGATAATGAAGGTTATACTCGCCGTCAGACGTGGGCGAAACGTTTCGTTTCGTTTCGTTGTTTCGTTAGTTTCGTTATGTTTTTTACTGTTTCGTCTCGTTTCGTGACGAAACACTTTTTAATTTGTTTCGTTTCGTTTTGTTAACGAAACACCTGTGTTTCGTTAACGAAACATTAGGTACTTTTTAAGCCAAAATATCACTCAAAAACTGAAAAATTTTCCACTTTGGTGATGGAAATTCAAAAAAATTTTGCCTGCGGCGCCGAAATATGAATTTTAAGAGTCTTCAGCGCATAATTTACAAGATTATTTTTGATTTTTTCAATTGACAATATGTTTTTATTCAAAAATTCTTCATATTATGTTCTATACTCGACTATGTTTTATACACCGATATTCCCATTTTTATGCTTAATGGGGATATCGGAGAAATTGGGGTATTAATAGTAATATCGAGGGATTTTGTGGGAAGAGATATCGAGGCAAGTGTACATACCACCCTGTTTCAGTTTGTACCAGGCTCATTTGGGAGGCATTTGCCCTTTTTACCTTATCTGAAAAAAGAAGAAATCTGGCCTATTAGCCTTCAATTTTAAAATTTTCGCCTGCGGCGCAGAAAAAAGGAATTTTTTGGTCTACAGCCTTCTAAAATTTTCAAAATTTTCGCCTGCGCCGCTGAAAATCATAATTTTCAGCGGCGCCGAAAATTTGGTGCAGTAAATTTTCCTCCCTTTATCCCCACAAAAAATCCTGGCTATGGGCCTGATGGCGATATAGGGAATTAGGTGAAATTAAGAGAAAAATGAACATTTAAAATGATTTGCAATGGCTAAACACAAATTGGGATCACAAATTGTTGTCCCATGGCTAATGGGACCACAATTTGTGGTTCCACATAATTATATGATGGCATAAATGTCATTAATGGCCAATTAACATGTTTAAAATTGAATAATTAATAAAATAATTAGGTTTTTGAGATTTTTTTGGAAATTAAAATGTTTCGTTTTGTTTCGTTTCGTTTCGTTAAATTTTCACTGTTTCGTTTCGTTTTGTTAACGAAACGATTTTTAAAAATTTTTGTTTCGTTTCGTTTCGTCCAAAAAAAATTTGGAGTTTCGCCCAGGTCTGCTCGCCGTCCTGGAAAAGAACCTATGAGGGAAGAAATGGAAGTGGAACAAGTTCAAAGAAAGAGCAAAAATGGTAGTAAAAGAGCTTTGTACATTTCCGACAACTTTTTCTTCTCCCATGTGCAATTTAATGTAAATTTTTTTAAATTTAAATTAAAACTGGCCAAACCAAGTAGTAGGAAATGAATGGAAGATTGGACACGTATCTGAGAACCATTATCAATTTTCCGTTTTCGAATTTTTCTTTTCCTCGGTCTGAGATTTGTCTTATTTTTTTAGTCCGTATTCTGTTTTTTAGTCCGTATGTTTTATCCAATGATCCACAAAAATCTGTAATTCCTTTCTTCTATTATAATGTCCCAGATTTTTTAAGCATATAGTAATATACAGATATTTCATTGATCAAAAATTTTAGACATTGTTAGCCAACATTTTGTCAGAAAAGTATAAAGTCGTAAGTTATTTTTACGCATATTTGATAGAAAATAGGCAAAACATGCATAATTTATGAAATTTGAATGTTGAGGCATTTTCTTACCTTTTGGTTTTTTGAAAAAATCAGAGTTTGGAGCTATTTATAATGCTTTCAAAATTCAAAATTAATTATACATCGTCGATTATATATTTATCAAATTTTATTGAATTCGGACGGCAAAATTAAATTTGGACTAAACTTAAATTCGGGCTAAATCTAAATTGAAAAATAAAAATATTTTTGTTTTCATTCCAGGATATGTTAGTTTATACTGATACTGAGGGAATAACAATAAAATCAGATAATTTTCAAATTGTTCCTGTTCCAATAAATGAAGAAATATTTCTTCGATTTAAAGTTGAAAATATTGTCCAATATAGAAATAGTGTTCTATATTCTACTATGGGAATTTATGCAGGTGAGTTAAAAAAATAAATTTAAAAATTATTTTTGATTTAAAAACGTATTTTGGGTACTTGTGTAGTTTCCCTCCCATAAGCTCCGCCCCTTTCTTTTTCTCTTCCTTACTTCTAAAATAATTAAGAAAGAATAATGAAAAGTTTAATCAGACGATCCTTTGTTAATTTAATTATCGCCCTCTTTCTATTAGACTTTGCTACCTGGGTCTATTAGTTGGCATTATAACTGGAGTCGATTATAGTTGATTACATTTTATAAAAATAAATCCATTTCTAAAGAAGTAATCACAAATCAAAATGGCATTTTTGATCGGCTTCAAGAAAACAAATATGATATTGGAATTGCCGAATTTGCTGTAATGGCTGGTTCTTTTGCTGTGTTTGAGGCATTAGGGATTGAAGAAACATTTGATGTTTCTTGTTCTGTATTCCTTCCAGCATATCTTCAATTCCTTGGAATTAATGTTTTGGACTTTGAAGTTCCAGGTAATGATTTATTAATATTAAATTGAATAAGGAAAATATGCATTTTACGGAATGCCTTTGTGGACTGACATTCAGCTACATATGCGGGGGTTTCGGTTCAACTTCCGGTGCCGAAGTGGAACAGTTAAAGGTCTGGAACCGGTTTTAAAGCATTGGGAATTAAAGAAACCTCCTTCCCTCTTACATAATTAAGGCTTTCTTTATCTTATAGCCCTCGTGGGCATATATTAAAAATTCATTTGTTGTTAAGAATACAATTCTGCCAAACCTGGAGATTGGAAAAATGGAATTTGGCAAAAAAACAGAATAGAGAATATAGAGGAACATTTAAAAAGAAAAGAATGGGTACAAGATATTTTCATTGTAGATTCTAAAAAATATTACAAAAAATTGTTTTATGATCAAGGAATATCTAATGTTAAATTGCCATCATCTTTGGTTGATTTATTTAACAAAATTAAATATTATTTTTTAAATCAACATCCCTTAATTAAATTTAACAATTTTCCTGAACACAATAAATTTGTTTATATTGGAGGTATTACTGTTGAAGATCACCAACTTTTAACTGAAGGAAAACAGTTAGTGGAGAATGAGGTAATGTTAAGTAAATATAATAATTTTAGTGATAAAATTATTTTAACTAAATATCAACTAGCATCAAGCCATACCAGGGCGTCCCCCACTGCTCCCACTTAGTATCTGCCCATTTTTTCTGACAGATAAATTTTTAAGCCTGACTGTGTTATTCTTGTTACATTTGGAACGGCTGGCTATAAAACCTATCCGATCGACAAAATGATTGAAGTATTTACACAATTTCCTCAATGTTATTTTCATGTTCGAGCAAATAAAACATCACAATTCGTCAATGGTTATACAACTGAAGCACCACTTCCACAAAAAGAGATATTGTGTAAATTTAAATTTATGTATAGTATATTAAGTAATTTATTTCAAGCTCAAACTAACACAAAAGTATTTATTTCACATTGTGGGCAAAACAGTGTTACTGAGGTATTTTATAAAATAAATACAAAATGCTAAAAATGGTCAAACTAGTGACTGTAACAATATCTAGTTCAAAAACAGATTATCAAGCTAGAGATTCTTTGATATATCTCCTCGAAGTTGTCATACCCTCAAATACGGTCTCCATAAAAACCATTAGAAAAAAACATACAATCATTGAGAATGAATGAAAGGCGCTAGTTGATAAAAGATAAGATTGGGTTGATCCTTCTCGAAGCATCTTTGTTATACGCTCAAACACCCACACAAAAACTAGAATAACTCTATTAGCTAGTTTAGGGCTTTATAATAAAGATTAAAACTGATGAGATATGAAGCAGGAGGGAATTCTTGCCGAAGGGATGAAAAAATATTAAATTGCCGAAGGATCTATGAATTTCCTTAGAATTTACATACTTCAAGTCCGAGATCCTTAAAGTTATGATTTGATGTAGGATCTGGATATCCGAAACATTCCTAGACACACTGGAATTATAAACCCACTCTTTAAAATTTTTGGTATGTACTATAGTATTATCTCCTCCATAAGTCGTCTTTGCCTTCTGCTTCAATAAAAACACGTATTTTCCTTTATTTTATTAAGAAATGAAGTTAATTAGCTTCTTAATGGCTGAAGTAATTATTAATTTTTTCTAGTCAATGTATGCCGGAGTTCCTTTAATTTGTATTCCAAAATATGGAGATCAAAAATATAATGCTTCGATTGTCGAATCTAAAGGGGTTGGCATTTATGTGGATTATGAAGAATTAAAGGGCTCTACTGATGAACAATTAAAGGATTCTACTGAATCTCTCAGAAACGCCCTTTATCAAATATTATATGACGAGTATGGAAATTTTAACAGTAAATATAGTAAGAAGGCTGAAAAAATGAGAAAGAACATTCTTCGAAATTATGAACATGAAACGATGAAAGATAAATTTTTGGGTAAATTTTAGGTGATAGATTTTAGTGAAGGATTTGTCTAACAAAAGAAGAAAAAATTGGAAGAGTTTTTTGGGGTCATTTGGGTTAAAAAAATTTTTTTAAATTTATTTTAAAGGGGTTGCCGTGATTTTTAAAAATATGTACCTATTTTGTATTAAGAAAGGTGGTTTTCTGTTAGTCCAGTTCTTGGAGCCATAATTACAGTATTTTTTCAATTAATTCCCCTGGGGAATTATTTTTTCAACACTTCCCTGGCATGGGGGATTTGTCGAGAAAATAAGGTTTTGGTTTTGGTTCTTGGCCAAATAGAGATTTATTTTGAGGAGGATTTTGAAAATTGTTCTCTGAAATTTTAGACTTTTAACTTTTCGAAATATCCCAAAAAATTTTTTCGTAAGCAATCCTGGTTCTGATAAAATTTAATTTTTATTAAATTCATTTATTCAAAAGCGGCAGCCCTTTATTTTTTTAAATTTATTTTTTGGGGATTTATTTAAAAAACAAAAATTGAGAAAGAAGATTGATTATCCAATCAAAGATTTTGCACTTCTCTTAAAGAGTGCCTTTTATTATTTTTTATTTATTTTTTATTATTGGATAAAAATATTTTTTGGGAAGAAAAAAATTTTTTTGTTCAATAATTTAATTCTAAAATTTTTTTTTTGAATTTTAACTGACCAAAGGAATGTTTTAAGAAATGTTTTTTTTCAATTTATAATTGATCATCAAATAATTTTTTTTCAAAAATATTTATTCGTCCAGAAACGGTTAATTACATAACCACTCTCGCGGCATCTTTTTCTTTAATTTAAAAGGAAAAAAATTATTAATAACTGAGTAGTACATAATTAGCTCTTCAGGAATGGAAAAAGGAAGAAAAAAATTAATTTTAAATCAAAGCCTTGTTGCTGTGAAAGATTATCTACCTTTTAATATTCAAAAAACATTGCTACTAATTTAAGTTGCAAAATTAAAAAAATTCTGGAACCCAGATTTTGATAGGGTCGTCGTTAATACCTAATGTTGCCAAAGTTCGAAATAGACCCAAGAAGTCTCAAGTCAATATCAAGAGTTTCCACGATCAAGAGCTGATGCTGATATTCCCACGGATCTCCATACAAATCCCCTCCCCATACGACACTGCTATCTTCTTTAATTCTCCGATATCCTTCAAATTTTCTTAATCCTCTGATATCCTCCTTAATGCCCTCTGTTAATGTCCTCCTTAAAATCCTCTGATTCTCGAATGCCCTCTGTTAATGTCCTCCTTAAAATCCTCTGATTCTCGAATGCCCTCTGTTAATGTCCTCCTTAAAATCCTCTGATTCTCGAATGCCCTCTGTTAATGTCCTCCTTAAAATCCTCTGATTCTCGAATGCCCTCTGTTAATGTCCTCCTTAAAATCCTCTGATTCTCGAATGCCCTCTGTTAATGTCCTCCTTAAAATCCTCTGATTCTCGAATGCCCTCTGTTAATGTCCTCCTTAAAATCCTCTGATTCTCGAATGTCCTCTGTTAATGTCCTCCTTAAAATCCTCTGATGTCCTCGTTAATGTCCTCTGTTAATATCCTCCTTAAAATCCTCTGATTCTCGAATGCCCTCTGTTAATGTCCTCCTTAAAATCCTCTGATTCTCGAATGTCCTCTGTTAATGTCCTCCTTAAAATCCTCTGATGTCCTCGTTAATGTCCTCTGTTAATATCCTCCTTAAAATCCTCTGATTCTCGAATGCCCTCTGTTAATGTCCTCCTTAAAATCCTCTGATTCTCGAATGTCCTCTGTTAATGTCCTCCTTAAAATCCTCTGATGTCCTCGTTAATGTCCTCTGTTAATATCCTCCTTAAAATCCTCTGATATCCTCCTTAAAGTCCTCTGATGTCCTCTTAATAAATTTTTAATTTGCCAGTCATCAATTAATATTTCTTTTTAAAAATTCAATAGCCGGTATAAAAATTTTTTTTGATTCGAAGTAAGACATCATTTCTTGCCATAATATACTATGTACTACAACAAAAATCAGATACAAATTAGCAATTCCTCCATCCCTTATTCCCTATAATTTATTCAATTCATTTAATATAAAGCTAATTATAAAATATTTGTCAAGAGATGGGACGGAAACAGGGATTCTCGAATCCCTGTAATCCCTGTATAACAATTTTTATAAAATTTCAACTAAAAACTGTGTGAATTTGATAAATAGGAGGTTGGAAATTCTGGATGGTAAAAGACCGGAAATATCGAAAAATCCAAAAAACTGAAGTTAAAACATGAAAGAAACTTGGAAAAACACCAGAAATCAGAAACTAGAATTCCACCCAATCTCTGATTTTATTATAATTTTGTAATAGGTTCTCTGCCCTAAAATAAATAAATCAAAAAAAAATTATTAAAAAAAAATATTTTTTAAATTTTTAAGGAAATGTACAATTTAAAATTAATTTTTTGCATTTTCTTATTTTTTCTAATTTTTGTTAACTTTTCAATTGAAAAAAAGTGTAAATGCCTTTTAAAACAAACAAAAAATCCTTTGTTTCATCGTCGATTTAAAAGAGGAGGAAAATGTAGTTGTTTTGGAGGAGAGGGAGCTACAGATGATGATTATGAAGGATATACTCGCCGTCCTGGGAAAGAACCTATGAGGGAAGAAATTGAAGTTGAAGAAATTCAAAGAAAGAGCAAAAATGGCAGTAAAAGTGTTTTGTACATTTGCGACAATTTTTTCTTCTCCCATGTGCAATTTAATGTAAATTTTTTAAGTTTAAATTAAAGTAAAGCAGCCAAATTCATTCCTGAGTATAACAAGATTAGACTGGGACCATTGGTTGGAAGTTCATAACAAAATTCGTACTCTTACCTGTGTAAGAAGTACGAGTAACATGTACAAGAAAGTACGAGGTACAAGGCCAAAAATAGAGCAAATTTAAAAATTCCAACCACTGACTAGGACTAGATTATGAGATTGGGAGGAAGTTCTGGTTGGGAGGAAACTTCGCCGGCCTTGTTAGTTCAGTACCTATTTTTTCAGAGTTAAAGCGACGTTCTTTTTTAGTTCACCCACTAAAGTTTTTTATTCTATAATTGGCCTTTTTATCACGTTTTATAAAGTAATCTTTTTTGAAGTTAAAGAATTTTTATTTTAGACATTATTAGCCAACATTTTGACAACAAAGTATAATGTGGTTAGTTATACTGATATTTGGATGGAAAAATAACAGAAAAATGGCCAGAAGATGATTTAGAATTTTTAGTTTTTCTCTTTCCTTCAGACTTTCGAAATTGGTTCCTGGCTTTACTTGGTCCGCCCCCATTTGGTTTCGGGCCATAATTATTTCCTATAAATTTGCTTGGCTATCATGCTTTTCCTTAATTAAAAATAGGTTTATATCAATCAAAATTTATTGGATTTGGTCGGCAAAATTAAAAATATGGACTAAATTTGAAGTTGGGCGTCGACTCAATATTTTTATTTTTTATACAGGATATGCTAGTTTACACTAGAGATGGGGGAGAAACTGTACATTCAGAAAAATTTCAAGTTATGACTGTTCCAATAGATGAAGAAACCTTGCATAAATTTAAAACTTTTGAAGAATATAAAAGTAGTAAAAGATATTTTACTATAGGAATTTATAGAGGCAAGAAAATTAAAAATAAAATTAAATATTTCTATTTCTAAAGAAATAATCACAAATGAAAACGGCATTTTTGATCAGCTTCAAAAAAATAAATATGATATTGGAATTGCCGAGTTTAATGTAATGGCTGGTTCTTTCGCTGTTTTTGAAGCATTGGGAATTGAAGAAACATTTGATGTTTCCAGTTCTATATTCCATCCAGAATTTCTTCAATTCCTTGGAATTAATGTTTTGGACTATCAAGTTCCTCGTAATAGTTCCTCTTATATTATGTATAATATATAAGATTATTACATCCCTTGTATTGAAATTATAATATAGGCTTATAAACATACATACATATTAAACAATTTGTTTTTTGTTAAGAATTCAAATCAGCCAAACCTGGAGATTGGCAAAATGGAATTTGGCATAAAGACAGAAAGGAGAATAGAGAGGAACATGAAGAAAAGAATAAATTGACACAAGAGTTGTTCACAGAAACTTCTCAAGCCTTATATGACTTATTGTTTAAAGCTAAAAAAATATCCAAAAGTATTAAAAAGCCATCATCTTTAGAGGATTTATTTCAAAAAATTAAATATCATTTTATAAATCAACATCCTTTAATTAAATTTAACAATTTTCCTGAACACGATAAAATTGTTTATATTGGTGGTATTACTGTTGAAGATAACAAACTTTTAACTGAAGGAAAACAGATTGTAGAGAATGAGGTGGGAAGCTTTTTTAAAATAATTAAAGAATACATATTATATAGCAGGGGTGGCGCAAGTGCCACAAAATACAAGACACGAGATACGAGATTCTCAAAAAGATATTTAGGTATTTAACTCCCAATCTAATAATTTTGATCAAAGATTGTTTGACTCACTCAAAAGGAGTGGTTCAAAAAATGTTGATTACCGTATATCTTTTAATAACACCCTGGGTAATTATTGTTTCGACCTTCCGCTGGAGGGAGTAATTAATTGAGGTAGGGTAATTATACGAGGTTTGAACTCGATTTAGGGCATTTATTTGGTTATTGTTTCAATCTATCGCTGGATGGGGTAATTAATGGAAGTGGGGTAATTATTTGAGGGAGGGCAATTAATACAGGTTATACGGTATACCACGAAATCTCACAAAAAATTTGGGTATGTCTCTTTTTCTGACACATTTTTTAAGCCTGACTGTGTTGTTCTTGTCGCATTTGGAACGGTTAAATCTGCAATGTTACCTATCAACGGAATGATTGGAAATGTATTTTCAAAATTTTCTCAGTGTTATTTTTATGTTCGAGCAAATAAACCTTCGGAATTCATCAATGTACAAACTAGTAAAGAAGCTTTTCCACAAAAAGAGATATTATGTATGCATTAATTTACATATTAGTTATCAGACTTGCTTATTGATACGGATAATACCCGGATACCTGTGGATATATCCATGTACGGACGGATATGGATAGTTAATTTAAATAAATTTGACCAATTTGAAAATTTTGTATTTGCTGACCATTTTAGAAAAGACTGATATATCCGTGGATACCCGCGGATGGTTATGCCTCAAATGTTAGACGGATATAGACGGATACTGATATTGACCTCATAGATAGATCCGGACACAAATAGCAAAATCAGTATCCATAAGCAAGCCTGTTATTTATCTTTAATTTTAGCTAAAATAAATACAAAAGCATTTATTACACACTGTGGACAAAATAGTGTTAATGAGGTAATTTATAAACAAATATTAATCAACCAGAGGGTGAGTGCAAGAGGCAATCGTGAAAAACGCAACGCAAGGCCAAAATTTAACGCAACTAACGCAAAACCGTGGTCCTCACGCCACCCGTGGTCCTCACCAAGAGCCACCATCCCCGTCCTCGTAGCAAGAACCACTGTAACTCACGTCTCCGTGTACACAGTCCCCTAGCCCTAATAAAAACCAAATAGAAAAACCAAAAAGTTCACTGGTTAGCGACACAAAAATTTGAAGCTCTCCCCTTTTTAGAATTTTTTTATCAAAATTTTTCAGTCAATTTATGCCGGTGTTCCTTTAATTTGTATTCCAAAATCTGGAGATCAACTTTATATTGCTTCAACTGTTGAAGAAAAAGGAATTGGCATTTTTTTGAATTATATAGAGGATGATTTTATTCAAAGTCTCTCGAATGCTCTTTATCAAATATTATATGACGAGTATGGAAATTTTAACAGTAAATATAGTAAGAAGGCTGAAGAGATGAGAAATGGCATTCTCAAAAATTATGAACATGAAACAATGAAAGATAAATTTTTGGATAAATTTTAGGTGGCATTTTAGTGAAAAATTTTGGTAAGAAGAAGAAAATTGGAAGTGGTTTTTGGAGTTATTTGGAGTATTTTTTAAAATTTATGTTAAAAGGGGTTGCCGTTTTTCAAATATTATGTATTGATAATTTATCTAAGGGGGATTTTTTAAAATACTTATTTTTATCAGGAAAGGTAATTTCCATTTTAATCCACTTTTTTAAACTTATACTTTTCAGTTTTGGTTCATGGCCAAATAGAGTTTATTTTGAGGAGGATTTTGAAATTATTTTATGAAATTTTAGACTGTTAACTTTTCGAAATATCCTAAAAAAATTTTTCGTTAACAATCCTGGTTCTGATAAAATTTAATTTTTATTAAATTCATTTATTCAAAAACGGCAGCCCTTTATTTTTTTAATTTATTTTTTTGGGGGATTTATTTAAAAAACAAAAATTGAGAAATAAGATTGATTATCCAATTAAAGATTTTGCACTTCTCTTAAAGAGTGCCTTTTAATTATTTATTTATTTTTTATTATTGGATAAAGATATTTTTTGGGAAGAAAATTTTTTGTTAAATAATTTAAATCTAAAAATTTTTTTAAATTTTAACTAACCAAAGCAATGATTAAGAAATGATTTTCAAAAAAGAAAAAAAATGCCGAAATATTTAAATTGCTTAGGTTGTAAACTAAGTTTTTATACTCATTAATTCCCCGATATCCGTTCAATTTGCTGAATGTATACCCAGTATGGAGCCGATAATAATGGAATTTGAAAGGAATACTAATATATTAAATTTGTTGGTCTGGCCGTATAATATTCACCGCTACTCATTAAGAGTGATTAAATGGGCGACGTTAATCCTTCCGATCGGGCAATAAATAATGACTATTCACTTTAATTATTAACTGACTAATAGACCGATCCTTTCCTTCGCTTATTCTTTGTATTATATTGGTTATGGATAGGCTTGATTATTTTAATAATTCTCACTCCTATTTCCGCCTTACACTACTTAATCTCTATATCCCTTTGTAATATCTTTAGTGGGCCCACCGGGCATTGGGTCCGGCCCTCCTCGAGAGAGAAGGACCGGACGTGCCCTGACTCTCTTAAATACGCCTTAAAACTTCTTTACTTCAAAAATAAATACCCATTAATTTTTATTAAATATTAAACTTTTAAATAATTTTTTCTTGAAGTTTTAAAATAAATTTTTAATTTGCCAGTCATCAGTCAATATTTCCGTTTAAAAATTCAATAGTCGTTATAAAAAATTTTTTTTAATTCAAAGGAAGGCATTGCAGCCATAATAGTATATGTATAACAAAGATCAGATACAAGAAGTACACTAAATTGTAAATGCTCAACAAATAAAAAACATGTGACCAGACAAAAAATCCAAAAAAAAAACAAGCAAAAATTCGTTTCAAAACGTTTCAAAACGGATAAAAATTTCTTTTTATTTTAAAACGAATTAGCCAAAATTTTCGGACGAACAACTATTTTTTGCTTGTTTTTTTGGATTTATTCCTATAATTGTTGGGCATTTACAATTTAGTGTAGTAAAAGTGTTAATAAAGAAAGAGTTTGCAAAAGTTTAGCCACCGGGCAGGATTCGAACCTGCGACCACCTGCTAGTTGTTGCTAGGCATTTTGCTAACCATATGCAGGAGCTCTACCATTCAGAGTTGCGTCGTAATCGAAAATTTTTTTTCGTAATCGTAATTCGTAATTTGTAATTTTTAAAAAATTTTCGGAATCGTAATTCGTAACTCAAAAAATGCCGTAATTCGTAATCGTAATTACGACGCAACCCTACTACCTTTGAGCTACCGGGGCATCGACTAATGCTTTCTCTTTTTCCTTTTTAATCGTTTAACCCACGCCTAAGCGTTTTAAATGCTGCTATGTTCCAAATTTTCCGCTTTCCAGCATCTTCGTTGTTCCTAGGGTTCAACTTCCATTTCTTTCCTCATAGGCTTTTCTCAGGATGGCGAGTAGGGTTGCCAAGATGGACCGACTCGGACCGAAAGATCGAGTCGAAATCGAAAATTGAAAGAATAAGACCTCGAAAAAATTCGGAAATCGAAATTTCGAAACAGCTCTCCTCTCACATGCCTGCGTAAGGGCATTCATATAGACATTTAAATTTCATTTAAATATAAATATAATTTTATTTAAACAAATTTAATAAATTATTTTAGTTAAAATTAATTTTTAAATTTTACTTTTAACAATTTTTATTAAATTTCCAATGAAAAGTGTATGAATGTGATAAATAGTAAGGTTGGAAATTCTGGAATATGTCTGGTAAAAGCTCGGAAATAACGTTAGGATTCAAAAATCGGAAGGCAGAACTTGAAAGAAACTTGGAAAAAACACTAGAACTTGTAATCGGCATTCCAGCCCCCCTCTAATTTTATTATAATTTTGTAGCAGGTTCTCTGCCCTAAAATAATTATTTCAAAAAATACTATTTTTAAATCTTTAAGGAAATGTACATCAAATTAATTTTTTACATTTTCTTATTTTTCCTAATTTTTATCAACTTCTCCATTGGAAAAAAGTGTAAATGCCCAACAAATATAAAATCCTCTGTCCATTCAAAAAATCCTTTAAAACAAACAAAAAATCCTTTGTTTCATCGGCGATTTAAAAGAGGAAATTGTTTTTGTGGAGGAGGAGAGGGGGCTACTGATGATGATTATGAAGCCTATCGCAACCCTGAAAAACGCCCTATAACGGAAGAAATGCAAGTTGAACAAATTCAAAGAAAGAGCTCCCCAAGAAAGAGTAAAAAAGCTAAAAATGTTTTGTACATTTGCGACAATTTTCACTTCTCTCATGTGCAATTTCATGTAAATTTTTATAATTTAGATAAGTAAATTTCTAGTTTAATTTGCTTCTCCTCCTAATCTTTAAAATCCCGCGACCCTCATAATCCTCCAAATCACTAATATCTCCCTTAATAGTCGAAACCTCTCGATATCCAACCTAATCCCCCGATCAGGGGCGGGCGCATTGCGTTTTGCGTTTTGCGTTTTGCGTTATTTGCGTTAAATTTTGGCCTTGCGTTGCGTTTTGCGTAAATTTAGCCTAAATTAACGCAAAAAAACGCAAAAAATATACCCAATCTGAGGGCAAAAATTGGAAGAAACCTAGCTTAAGGACCTCGAAAATTATCAAAATTTTCGCCTGCGGCGCAAAAAATGGAAGAAATCTGGCTTAAGGACCTTCAAAATTCTCAAAATTTTCGCCTCCGGCGGTAAAAAAGGAAGAAATCAAGCAACTAGGCCTTCAAAAATTTCGAAATTCTCGCCTGCGGCGCTCAAAGTAGAGCTCAGATCTAACAGTATCCCGCCAAATACCCTGATATCCCCGGTATCAATTTAAATGCACACATATCCATTAATTCCTCCATCTCCCCAATTCACCCATGGTATTTCCTATACTATTATATCCTTTATAATCCTCTTATATCCTTCATAATTCCTTTGTATCCCCGATATTACTCAAATTATCATCCATCCAAACACTTTTATATATCACAAAAGAAAGTAGGACTGCTGACACTTATTTATTAGTGATACTTCAATTTTTAATTGGAAAATGGCTAATACATACTTGATAAAAAAATTTTTCTCATTTTTGCGCTCTTGCGTTTTGCGTTTTGCGTTTTTTGCGTTTTGCGTTGATTTTTGGCCTTGCGTTGCGTTTTGCGTTTTGCGTTTTTGGAAATTGTCTCTTGCGCCCGCCCCTGCCCCCGATAATTTCATAATACACCAAAATCTCCTGATATACCTTCAATTCCCAAATCATCAATATCGCTCCTAATCCGTGTTATGTCCTAGAGTGCGGTCGCGGTAACGCAAAAGTACATTTAATCTGAGGATAAATATAGAAGTCTGGCTTATTGGCCTTCCAATATAATTCAAAGAAATGTCGGTGGAGTAAAGAGGTTATTACGGATTTGATGGGGGATTTGGAATGGATATCGGCGGTCCTTTCTGTTCCCTACGAATTTCCTTATATCATTAATCGCATCAAATCCACTTATATCCTCGGTAATCACCTTGTATTCCCGATAACTCTCCAAATCATTGTTCATCCAAACCCTTGCATCGAACACACGATCCTCTCTTTCTTTTGAGGTTACTTTTAGTCGCAAAATTATTTTAACATACAAAATTATGTGCGAAACTATTTTATTATTAATTTAATAAACTGAACATTTTAGACAGCATTTGCCAATATTTTGTCAAAAGTGCATAATGTGGTTAGTTACCTTATCATTTATTTTAAACTTCTCACTTCAATGCATATCCGCATGCAAAACATGCATTTGAATGTTTTGTCCAACCCTAATAATAAATTAGAAATCTCTCTTTAAATGAGCGCGATCGTGGCCGGGCCGTATATCTTAACGATTGTACGATTTTTAGTCATATTTTGAGCGTGCAGTAACTGTTGAGCCAGGGATGGGATTTCTTCCGATTCCGTCTTTTGGGAAGAGCAAATAATTTCATCTTTCCTTGCTCTTCTGCTTTCATTTTTTAAAATACGCTAAGTCCCATCCCTGATATATGTTCAGTATTAAGGGCTTTAGCTTTAGCTATTCGGGTATAAGTGTTATTCCAGTGGTAATACATAAAATTTCTCCAGGATATGTTGGTATACAATATGAATAAGGAAATAAAAGTAGAGCAGGAATCATTCAGTTTTAAAATTATTCATCTGACAATAAGCAAAAAAATATTGAAAAAATTTGGAGGAGATATTGATAGATATAAAGGAAGCCAATATTATTATTTTGAGGGAATTTATCATGGTGGGATATAAATAAAAATAAATTTAAAAATTGGCTTTGTTTATAATGAATTAACAGTAATTTTCGGGAGTATGCCAATGTACCGCTAAGCTATAACATAGTTAAAAATTATTGAATCCATGACGATTTGGTATAGTTTTATGCATCCCGACGAGCTTAATTGAACCATAACAGGGTGTCCGGATTCGATAATTTTAAACTAAGTTAATGTTCGGTGGTATCTTGGCCTCGAGGTACCTTGGTGTTTCCTAATTTAATTCCAAATATCTCAGCCCAGAAACCAGATAATTTTTAAAATAATATTATATATATTATAAATATAAAATTTTCTTTATCGCTCAAGAAATAATTACAAATCAAAATGGCATCTTTGATCGGCTTAAACGAAAGGCTTATGATATTGGAATTGCCGAATTTAATGAAACTGCTAGTGCTTTCGCTGTTTTTGAAGCATTGGGAATTGAAGAAACATTGAATGCTTCCAGTTCTGTATTCTTTCCAGCATACCTTCAATTTCTTGGAATTGATGTTTTGGACTATCAAGTTCCTGGTGATGATTTATTCAGTTCAGGCGACAAGTTAGAAAGGCAGTAACTCCATCAATAGAGTTGGCATTAAAATTAGGGAGTATTTAAAAGCTATCTCTGTAATGAGAGGACATCCTAAACTGAGCCTGATTGCCATATTAAACAATTTATTCTTATTAAGAATTCAAATCTGCCAAACCCGGAGATTGGAACGATGGGGAATGGTTAAAAGACAATGAGGAGAATAGAGAGGAACATGAAGAAGCTAATGATGGCGAAAGTAGATGGCTTGCGCAAAGGGTTGTTATTTCTGGAAATGAAATAACTTTCGGTGTTTTATTTGAAAAAATTAAATATCATTTTATAAATCAACATCCTTTAATTAAATTTAACAATTTTCCTGAGCACGAAAAAATTGTTTATATTGGTGGTTTTATTTTTGAAGATGAACTTTTGGCTAAAGGAAAGCAAATGGTAGATAATGAGGTGGGAAAAACTTTTATTTAAAATATTTAGTTTTGTTACTATAACCTTTGGAGGATTTTGGGATTTTGGAGGTCAACCCAGAAGATGGTAGGAGGCGTTATTCCTAAAACAGTGGGCGGCATAAATTTAGGGGATCAGCCTCAACTCTCTAGAAGTATTCTGTGTAAATACATTCTACATTCTTATTTGTATTTAGAAATATAAGGAAGGGAAAAAGGAAACAAAGGGGCCCGCCCCCGTTACACGAATTTCCCACAACCCCCGTCCTCGTAAAAATGTTCCCCGTCCCGAAAGTCGCCCCTACTTTAAACCTGATATTTTTAAGCCCGATTGTGTTGTTCTTGTCGCTTTTGGAACAGTTGGAGCTGGACATTTGGATATCGAGGAAATGATTAACTCAGTATTTGTACAGTTTCAATTCTGTCGTTTTTATGTTCAAACAAATATGCATTCATTTTCAAATATAGTTACGGGGGAATATCTTCCACAAAAAGAGATTTTATGTAATATAATTAGCTATTTATCTAATTATATCCATCTATTTTCAGCTCAAACCAATACAAAATTATTTATTTCACATTGTGGGATAAATAGTGTTAATGAGGTATTTTATAAATTAAATATAATTAAAATTAAACAATTTAAATTAGAGCATGAACAAATTTTTTTGTTCGTTTAGTAAATTTTGTGATAATTTATAACAAATTTTATTCAATTTTAACGACGAAAATAACGAAAGATTGTTGCTCAAAAATATTTGTCTTTCGCACTAGCCAAATTTTATTTTTTTGTATTCGGAACAGTCCGAGGTGTCGGATATAGAAAGAGCCTGAAATCGGAACTGGCTCAAAAGTAGGAACTCGGAAATCGGAAGGAAAAAACGTCGGAAATTGGAAATCGGAATTCCGACCTACCTCTGCATGACATATAGGGGTCTGGGTATCTGTAATATTTTGAGTATACGAAAATTAGTAGCTCACAGTTTTAACAAGTTTTTTAAATTTATTTTTTTGTAGTCAATTTATGCTGGTGTTCCTTTGATTTGTATCCCAACTTCTGGGGATCAAATTTATAATGCTTCAACTGTTGAAGAAAAAGGAATTGGCATTTTTTTGGATTATACAGAGGATGATTTTATTCAAAGTCTCTCGAATGCCCTTGTTCAAATATTACGTGACGAGCATGGAAATTTGAATTTTAACAGTAAATATAGTTTGGCTGCCGAATATATGAGAAATGGAATTCTTCGTATTTATGAACATGAAACGATGAAAGATAAAATTTTGGGTAAAGTTGATGGTACAGATTAGTGACAGATTTTGTCAAGAAAAAAATTGGAAGAGTTTTTGGGGTTATTTTGGTTAAAATTATTTTTATTTATTTAAAAAGGGTTGCCGCGTTTTAAAAAATATTATGAATTAATAGTGGTACTAAATTGACTTGTGATTTTCTATTAGTACCTATTTTAAGTAAAATACCTAAATAGGTACCTACTATTTTGTATTAAAAAAGGTAATTTTCGTGTTAGTCCAATTTTTTAGACTTCCACTTTTCGGTTTTGGTTCTCGGCCAAATAGAGTTTATTTTGAGGAGAATTTTGAAATTGTTTTATGAAATTTTTGACTTAACTTTTCAAAAAAAATTTTTTTTGAAATATTTTTTCGTTAACAATCCTGGTTCTGATAAAATTTAATTTTTATTAAATTTATTTATTCAAAGCGGCAGCCCTTTATTTTTTTTAATTTATTTTTTGGGTGATTTATTCAAAAAACAAAAATTGAGAAAGAAGATTGATTATCCAATCAAACATTTTGCACTTCTCTTAAAGAGTGCCTTTTTATTTTTTATTATCGGATATGTTTTTTTAACTGTAATTACTCAGGAAAGGTTGTTGGAAGTTTTAATTTTTGAGTCTTATTCAATGGGTCCTACCATTACTCGAAACCAGGCCTTTTCTACGTGAAAGCAGACTCGAAAAATTTTTGAAACCCCGATCCGAACTTTTTCACTCATATATCCATGGATCTTGCTAACAAAAAATAAATTCCCTACCCTAAAAACGTCAGGATTTCTTAATTTAAAAAATCAAGGCAGCTAGACCGATAGATACATTTTCAATTATTTCCACCTATCAAACACAACCTTCTCTGAGTAATTTTTAATTGATTAAACCGAGATTGATTATCCACTGATAGATTTTGCACTCCGAGAGTGCCTGTTTATTTTTTTATTTAAATTTTTTATTATCGGATAAAGATTTTTTTGGGAGAAAATTTTTGTTGAATAATTTAATTATTAAAATTAAAAAGTTTTAACTGACAAACAAATATTCAGAGCGGTATTGAGCAAAAGATTCTCTCAAATTGAGCAAAAGATTTTGCCCATTCTCTCAAAAAGTCTGGAATCAGATTTCTAATCATTGGTAATCTTGTTAAACGATTCACAAAAATCAAAAGACGGAATAAAAATGTGTGTATGTTCCCTTTATAACAAAATACTTAAAAACAGGCAAACAAACAAACAAACAAACAGCTAGAACAAAACAAAATTTTTTGCCTAAGTCTAACCCGTAAGGATTTATTGCGAACGGAATTTTCCAACATTGTTGCCGAATATAAACATTTGATTTTTATTAAAACATAAAAAAAATTTTTTTGGGGTTTTAAAATAAATTTTTAACTTAACAATCTCGAATCAATATTAATTTTTAAAAATCCAATAATCAATTCTAATAAAAAAATTTTCCTAGCTCATTATATACCACATTCTATAATTAAAATTAAAAATCACTTCCTCCTTTATTCCCTCTACAATTATTTTAATTTTATAAAGGTAAAGCAGCAATATAAAGCAGCAAGGTAAAGCAGCTGGGCTATAGCTATTTATCTCCTTTAGCTAGTGCAAACGGTTAATCGGCGGCTGGGAGCGAACCAGCTTCTTCAGTAGACCGGACTGGTGTGTTAGCAGTTACACCACACCGCCTACTGCAAAAAATTAGAAATGTCGGAAATTAGAAATTTTTGAAATTTCTAAAATTTCTGAAGGCTGAGGAAAAAACTCGGAAGGTTACTAGACAGAACTCGGGAATCGGATTTCCAACCCCTCTCTGGGAGCGTGAGTTTAGTATAAGTTTGAAGTAGATTCTCTGCCCAAAAATAGAACTAAAATTCTAAAGATATTTAATTTTTTTAGGTTTTAAAAATTATTTTTAATATTTTTAAGGAAATGAACATCAAATTAATTCTTTACATTTTTTTATTTTTTCTAATTTTTATCAACTTCTCCACCGGAAATAGGT